CCCCCCCCTCCCCCACACACACGACCACACAACACACATGTACGCATGTGGGCGTGCAGTTGCTCCCCGACACAGCTCACACACACCTCCAAACCCACGGGGAAACCGAACACATCAGGCAACTGGCCCTGCAGGCGCATGCAACTTGCCCCTTTCGAAGGCCGGCCGATGCTCAGCCAGGCACAAGCACACAGCTGCCCGTTCGCGACCTCTTTCCTTTTCTCTCTCCCCGGTACACACGCACTGATGATGTCCGCCCGCGCCCGGTGCCCTGGCAAGTGGCCCCCGGCCCCCGGCCCCCGGCCCCCCCCCCCCACAAAGGGGCCCCTCCCCCCCCCGGCTCCCCCCCCGGGGGTGGGGCACCCGGGCGCCCCCCCCCCCCCCCCCCCCCCCACTCAAGAAACCCCCCCGGCCGGCCCCGGTGACCTAATAGCGGAGTTTTCACGCGCGCCACAGGCCCCGATGCTCGGTCCGCGTGATCATGCTACCGATGGGGCGCCCCGATCGTCGGCATCTCATGCATGCATTCCGCCCTCGTTCCCGCGACTGGCCGGCAGGGGGGGGGGGGGGGGCGGCGGCGGCGGGGGCGGCGGGCAGACCGGTGCTGGGGACGCTTTTTCCGCAGCAGCCCTCCTTGCGATCTGGGCAAGAATTGCCATTTCCTCCTGTCCCCTCTCGCGCCTCCCGCTCGCTCCCACCCGCGATCGCCAGCACCCCTGCCCCGACCCCCGGCTCCATCCCTTGGCTTCGCATCCGCCCAGGCACAAACCCACTTCAGCGCACGCGCACACATGTGGCTTGATGGCCTCGGCGCCCTTCGGCCGGACGTCGGGCGCCTGGCCGCGTCGACCGACGAGCCGCTGACCGCCGCAATCGCGCTCGATCTGCTCATTGGTCTCCTCTGCGGAGGCATCGGCCAGACCACTCTCCCCCCGGCGTGCTGCCTCGCGGAGAATGGCGGCCGCTGGGTTGGCGGATCGACCGGCGGGTCGGACGTCAACCGCACTCTGCCAGCGTCACTGGCCGCGACCGGCGCGGCAGCACTTCTCTACCACATCCCAGCGGCCAACGCCGGCTCCTTTGCCCAGCTCGTCCAGCAGGTATGGCAGGCCGGCTCAGTTGGGTCTTCTTCTTTTTTTTTTCGGGCCCTTCTTGCCCCCTTCCCTTCGGATCGCTTGCCTTGGGGCTGACTCTACTCCGGGCCCCCCTCCCCCCTCCCCTCTGACGCCGACTTCCTCACGATGGCAGGTGGCCACCGAGACACTGGGCTTCTCCTTTGCGCGCCTGTCTCCGACCCTGGACCACTGCATGGCACCCAATGAGGCGCAGGCGCCCGCTTTGGAGCCACGGACCGCGTGGCCCACCGAGGACATCGTCCAGAGCTCGTCCACCTTGGCCCGGCTGCTGGCGTGCGACGGGGCCAAGGGCTTCTCGGAGGCCTTCGACCCGGAGGTGCTGGCACTGCGCCTGGGACTGACCCCCGGGCCGGCTGGGCGCCCGATCTTCCGCTTGGATACCGACCGAGCGGCGGCCCTGGCCGCGGAGCAATCCTCCGCCGCCGCGGCCACCCTGCCCCTGACCTCCAGCAATGCCACAGGCTTCGCGCTGAATGCCCCGCCGCCCGTGCCGCCCAAGGCCCATCCCGACTGCGAGCGCGTCCTACCCATCATGCTGGACTTGGCCACGCGCATGCCGGTCCCGGCACGCGGGCTTGACACCCGGGGCGTGCCGCTTTTCCTTCGGGCCGGCTGCGGCTGCCATGTGCCTGGCCGATGTGCTGATGGCCGGTGCGCGCCCCCGGTGCGGGTGGTCCTTGTCGAGCGCGCGGCCGACCTGCCGGCGGCTCTGCAGCAGGATATCCTGGCCGCCCTGCGGCCATTGGTGGCCCCTCGCGCGGCAGATCCCTGCCCTCGGTGCCAGCCCGCCTGCCGGGCCCCGCTCTCGGGGCCGGAAAATGTCTTCACCCTCTTTGTGCTGGTGGACCCCCTCCCGCTGACGGCCGAGGAGGACCTCGCCCCTCAGGAGGACGAGGGGTCCGGGTCGCGGCTTGGCAGTGCTGGTAGCTGCACCAGTGGCCCGGAGCAGCCGGCCTCTCCGCCCGACTCCCCGGCCACCACCCCCGGGGACTGGTGGGATGATGACTCGGGCTTCGGCGGCGCCGGGGCCGTGGCCCTCCCTCGGCGATATGACCGGCGCCGGGAGTGCTCGGCCTTGGCCCCGGCGCCGATGAGCGAAATGGCCGAATACTTTGCTTCCACCGGCGGGGGACGCCGTCCGGCTGCCTGTCCCACCCGCTGGCTTGACTTACAGCCATCCTTTTTACCGGTCTTCCCCTCGCTTGGCCACTCGGGGCCCGGGGCTGCCCGGCAGACTCCCCCCGACCCGACTCGGCCCCCGGGTCAATTGGTGCGCGTGACCTGCTCCCCCAACCGCTTGGGGCCACTCGCCGCTCCCGTTGGCTGACCTGGCCCAATTACAACCCCCCTCCCGGGTCGCCCGGCTGGCAGTACCATTTCCCACTGATCAGTGAGCACCTTATGACCCAGTCCGGGAGCCTGCACCCGGCGGCGGCGGCGGCACTCTCGCCCGGCCGGGCATCCCGGCCCCCACCCTCGGACGGCAGGCCGGCCCTCTCATGTCGGGTGCGTCATCGGCCTCCCACGCGCGGCACCCCCATCTGCACATGCATCCTCGCGCACGGCCCCTCGTCGTCAAGTGCATGGCGTGCCTTCTGACCGCCTGTTTTCTCCCCATCTTATGGCGTGCGTGTGTGTGTGTCTGTGTGTATGTGTGTATGTGTGTCTGTGTCTGCAGGATCTCGTGCGTCTTTCTTGGGGTGTCCATTGTACACCGGTCGATGAGAAGCTCCTCTCCTTCGCGCGAGGCATTGTGGCGGCCCTACGCGATGATGCCATGTGGCGCTTCGCTCCGGGTCCGGATGCCGTGGAGGCGGCCATCGCCGTGGCCCGGTACGCATGTGCACGATCAAGCCGGCCAGGCTTGAGGCACCCGATGCCCAGGCCGGCGTCAAAATCCACGCCGGCCAGGCGGTTGCCCGGACGTGCGGATGCACCACCGCAGCTCCCCACTGACATGTGCTCCTCTTCCCTCCTTCCCTCCTTCCTTCCGACCGGGCCCCGGCAACAACCAGCACCCTGGCCTTCCTCCAAGGGTCGCCCTACACCACGGCCGATCACATGCTAGCCGCCCTGCGGCGAGTGCTTCCCCATCGGGGTGAGCTGCTCCGGCCGCTGCGCGATGCAGACCTCTCGTCCACCACCGCCGGATTCATTCGGTTTTATTCGGCCCTGGTCGGGGCAACCGCGCATCCGGGAGCCGGCAATTCGTCCTTGGCCTCAGTCGGCCGATATGGCTCGGCCGCGTACCACATGCATCACCACCATCACCACCACCTCTCGTATCACCACATGCACACCCATGGGCCTGGCACGCCGCCCCCGGTTCCCGGCGGCCTGGCCTTCGATTCGTCCTACTGCCCTCCATCGGCCACCGAACAGATCCATGCCAATCTCATGCACCCGGTGGGCAGTGCCTTTCTCCAGTCCATCGCCGGGATTGGCTATTGCATATGCCACTCGCCGCACCACTGGCGCCAGCGGGCGGTCGCCACCGCACAGGCACTCCATGCTGCAGCTGCCGTCCCCCATCCGGCCGGCACGTCTCTATGCATTGACTGTGGACTTGTCTTGCCGGGGCAGCATGCCGCCAGTTTGGGCCGTCGGGCATCGGCCTCCTCGCCGCCTCCGCCGCCGGGCCCGCCGCCGTCGCCCCCGGCCCCGGTGCAGACCGCAGGCCGCGAACGATTGGACGACATTTTCCATCGCACCCGGCGGATAGCGGCCCTTTGCGCGGCCCACCCTCTGCCCTTGTGAACTGGCGCAGGCCCCTGTACGGCTCCGAAACAAGGCGGGGGGAAAAGAGCAGCGCGCGAAGGCCACAGGCCAGAGGAGGATAGCAAGCGCAGTCGGGTGGGCGCGGCCTCCCACGTCTCGCACACTCCGAGCGAGACGTTCCCCCGCCCGGACCAAATAGACCACACACAGACCGATCAGAACATGCCCCCTCTCAAGGTTGCCTGCTTTTTGCCTTGTCCTTTTTGATCGAATCAAAACACGGCATCTACCGCGTAAATCCCCGCGTAATTTTTGCCCATATGGTGATTCCCTCTGGCCGGCGCGTGATCCACAGTTTCGTCTGGAAAATCATCCCCCAAGTGCCGTGGAGGACTCTCGGACCAAATAGGCTGCCCGGGGGGGGGCCGGGGGG